AAAAAAAAAAAAAAAAAAAAAAAAAAAAAAAAAAAAAAAAAACGGCCGCGCCGCCCTAGGATTGGGCGGAATGCCGCCTCCTACAAGCTGCCGCCCCAAGCACCAGCTTGCTCGGCTGGTGCCTGGAGCCGGCCTTGGTCTCATCGTTGCTCCCTCCCATAGCAACATCTGCTTTTGTTTCTTTCTGTTTTTCCCTTCCTAGTAAGGGGAACTGACTGTTAGGGTTTGTATGCTCTCCCAGTTTCTGAAAACTCGTTTGCTTTATATTATAAACATCCTTTATTTTATTGAAGGCAATTTTAGGTGGTTGAAATGTTTAGATATGAATCACAGTAGCATGCCATTTTACACATAGCTCCCACATACTGTATTGCACAAAAGTGGCATACTTTGCAGACTCACTGTATAAGAACATAAGAACAGCCATACTGGGTCTGACCAGTGGCCCATCTAGCCCAGTATCCTGTCTTCCAACAGTGGCCAATGCCAGGTGCCCCAGTGGGAATGAACAGAACAGAGCAATTATTGAGTAATGTATATAAGTAAGGATGGGTTATGGGGGTCCTTTCCAGTCGTGATTTTGGGGCCTTAGGCAGCCTGGGAGTAAGCAGGTGCAGTTATACTGAATACAATGGGAATTACACCTGCTTACACCAGGGCTGAATTTGACTCCATGTTGTCTCTGCTGCCTGAGGCACAAGTCTACATAAACAAGAGAATTAGGAGGATCCAGTTCTACAGTGTCCAAATTAACCAGTAAAAAAAGCCAGCAGTGTCTGAAGTTAAGGCTTATGTCTCATCCACGTTGCATTAAGAGACTTGTTAAATGTGCTCATCTCTAGTCAGGCATTGTAAAGTGATACAACAAATCATAAGCTATTCTTCACTGCTGTTTTCTCAGTTCTTGTAATAGCTTCATCCTTAGGGGTTTTTCCTCCTTCTGAGGTTTCATTAACTCTGTTTTACAGCCAGTGCATTATGAAGAGAAGAACTGGTGTGAGGAGCAGTATTCTGGCGGGTGCTACACAGCTTACTTCCCACCTGGGATAATGACACAGTTTGGAAGGTACAGTGTCTCACTAAGGGACTCAACAACAGAAAGATAAGAATGATCAGATAAATATCCTTTGTAAGGGTCGTAAGTCCTCTGTGAACAAATTTTCTTTATACCTGGAGTACTAGTTAGGGAATACTTCAAACAGCCTTGTAAAATTTTACTTCCCCACTTGCCTGGATTAGGTATTTTTGATGGATGAGTCTCCTTATTAGTATTTTCACTTTCATCATTGACTACAGGGAAGAGTAGGTGAGTAGATTGCTTGATTGTTTGGGGGGGGGGGGGGGTTGTTTTAATTTGTGTCCCAAACTGGTAAATTTTGATGACAACTTTGCTTTTCAGATTTGGGATTGGCATTACCATTTCCTTTGTGTGTTTTAATATATTTTATTGGTATTTTAAAAATAAAGTAAAAAAGCCTGATCCTGTAAATATTTATGAACATGAGTAACTTCAGTGGACTGTTCCTATTAGCAGACAGGGCCTAATGCAGTAACTACTGTGCCACCATGTATTGTCCTCCCCGATTCAGGTTTTTGATTGAAAACAAGAGTGACCCCAAAAAGCAGCAGTGGCCGACCTGCCTGTTGCCATTCATTTATGTTCAGTGTGACAAAGTTCCTCCTCTATCTTGGTGGGTCCTGCGCTTATTGGCAGATTTTTCTTGCCTCAGAGATTCACCATGTGGGTTGGGGAACAGCCCAGAGACCTTCCCCTCTGGGAGAACCCACAGTCCAGGTCAACTGGGAGGTTTGGGGGGAACCCGGTCCCGCCATCTGCTCCGGGTTCCAGCCCAGGGCCCTGTGGACTGCAGCTGTCTATAGTGCCTCCTGTAACAGCTGCATGACAGCTACAACTCCCTGGGCTACTTCCCCATGGCCTCCTCCAAACACCTTCCTTATTCTCACCACAGGACCTTCCTCCTGGTGTCTGATAATGCTTGTGCTCCTCAGTCCTCCAGCAGCACACCCTCTCAGCTCCTTGCGCCTCTTGCTCCCAGCTCCTCGCACTCGCACCACAAACTGAATTGAGCTCCTTTTTAAAACCCAGGTGCCCTGATTAGCCTGCCTTAATTGATTCTAGCAGCTTCTTCTTAATTGGCTCCAGGTGTACTAATTAGCCTGCCTGCCTTAACTGGTTCTAGCAGGTTCCTGATTACTCTAATGCAGCCCCTGCTCTGGTCACTCAGGGAACAGAAAACTACTCATCCAGTGACCAGTATATTTGCCCTCTACCAGACTCCTGTACCCCACTGGTCTGGGTCTGTCACATCAGTTAAGTGCTCTGGATGGATCCCTTTTGAAATGTAAATTTCTGCAATTCTAAACTAGCTAAGAGCACTAAAGAAATCCTGATTTATGACCATATAGTGCCTTCAATTTTTAAAGTAGACAGAACTTACTTTAAAGTAGATGATTGCAGATCCCAGCAAAGCTATATGATCCAGGAAAGTGTCATGGGGGCTACAGCATGCCATTCAGAGTGCTAGCGACTCCATCTTTCATCTCTAGAGTCTTGGCTATGATAACAATGAGAACAAGCCTTGTCTCAGTCTAGTTCTCATTTAGACTTCCATGAGCCCCAGAATCACACTCCAAAATAGCATTAGCAGGATTGCAGTAATACTTTCTGAGCCTTTAGAAAACATAAGGAGCACCAGGAAGTGTCTAACGTAAGAAATGTAATGAAAGGCTGACTATCCTAATGGCCTGCTGCATTGCTAACTCTTAAGTGTTGATTGATATTTAAAGCACCCTTCTCCTGTTTTTTACCCAAGGAATTTTGTCATGCTTTCCTGATCTGGCTGATACGACTTGTTTTTGTCCATTTTAAAGGATCATTCGCCAGCCAGTTGGTAGGATCTACTTTGCTGGAACAGAGACAGCTACAGAATGGAGCGGGTACATGGAGGGGGCTGTGCAGGCTGGAGAGAGAGCAGCTAGAGAGGTACAGCCCCACACTTATGGCATGCTGCATGGGGAGAACATTTAAGTGTGTTTTGCAAAATCAAGGCTGAGATTTTCAAAGCCATGTAAGGGATTTAGATGCCCAGTGGGAATTAATTTTAAGGAAAATTCAGTATTGCCAATCTCAAGCATTTAAAAATCATTAGATTGGATTAAAAATGAGATTTGAAAAAAAATTAAAATTGGGTTCTTTTTATTTGCAATTCCATTTTTGAGCCTTTCGGAGCACCCAGGTCATGCTTTCAAGCTTTCCTCTGCAACCGTGAGGGCTAGACATTTAATTTTTTAAAGCTGAGATTCTTACCTAATCATTTGTCTCTAGCAATTGGAGCTGTAAGCTAAACATCAAATACTGTCAGACTTGCAATAAAAGGACAGGAATTGGCAACAATGGTGTCCCAAATCCCATAGGCAGCTTTGAAAAGCTCAGCCCCAAAGTTTATTTTCAAGAATGATAGTTGTGCTGCCGGCCTGGAGAACAAGTTAGGCCCCGTGCTCGGTTGATTCTGAATAATGATGATTCATAGGAACATACACACTTCATTGTCTGTAAAAATGCCATTTTCCTAGCTATTTTTGTAAGCATTGTGGTTTATGGGCAGATACACTTCAACAAAAGAAATCTCATATTTGTTTCATAAGAGGTTAAGGGGTCAGCTTTGGGATCTCATATGAGGGAGGTAATCAATAAAGTATCGTCATGTGTCAAGTGATGCAAGCATTAAAGCAGAACCTCTGAAGAGCTTAGACGTTGGGCAACAGGAAAGAGCTGTATCCTGGGAGTGATGTATACTTAAGAATCAATCCCCATAACACTGTTAATTGTGCTAACTCATAGATAGACCTGCCAATCATCTTAGATCTGTCTGAAATGGGACCACATCTCAGGAGACATCAGATGTTGTTAATTCTGCAAAGGACTGGGATAGAATAACAAGAAATTAAGATAGCCACATTATATTTTGGAAACATGCGCATTAAAAAAGTAATGTTCACCTCATTGTGAATCACACTCTCCTCCTTGGTTCATGTAACCCTAGAACTTTCTCATGTCCACCAATAGACACCAACTAGTTTTTTAAAAATAAATTTTGCATTTCTGGCACTGAACCCTAGTCTCTCCCTCCCTCACATGACCTCGATCCTATTCCTGTGTTGGGGCAACATTTTTCTAAATTAGCTTCCAATACATTTTGCATGTACCTGTTTTACATCTACACGTCTTGTGCACTACTTTGATGTCAATTTTATAGGATATGGCCCACAGATTTGTGGTTAATATGAGGCCCTAGTTCAACAAGATCTTTAAGCCTGTGCTTAATTTTCAGCGTGACTGACTTCAGCAGGACTACTCACATATGAAATTAGGGATGTGCTGAAGTACCTTGCTGAGTTAGGGTCTGAATGAGTTAAGGAGGCTCCTTCCACTCCTTCATCCTGAACCATTATTTTTCTTTCATAGAAAAACCACCATCACTCACACTGGAGTGATTACACAGTTAGGAAAGAGGTGCTTCTCTGGGAGTATGTCAGTAAATAACAGCCCCTCCAAGCAAACTGATGTGCAAATATCAGATTTTCTGTTAAATCTGAATACACACAATCTTATTTGCTAAGACCTTATCTTGATTATAGCAGCATCAGCTTAGACCAAAAACTGAAAGCCAAATGTTTTGCCCTTTAAAAGAATGAATGGAACTGATCAGTTCTTTATTTTCAGATACTGTGTTCCATGGGGAAAATCTCAGAAGGTGAAATTTGGAAGTCAGAACCAGAATCAGTTGTAAGTTTTCCTTCAGTTCCTGTGAACTTCCCTTTGATATTAATGATGAGATAAAATATGTGTTGCCTTTACGTTCATAAATGACAGCTACAATTACTATTCTACTGCATGCCAAAACTGTCCATGGATACCTGGGAACATGACAGGTACCCAGAGAGGGTTGAGGGTGTCTAAATACTCTGTAAATGTGGCACAGGAAAGAGTATTCAACTTTTAATAAGGCTAAAAATCTGTAGAGGTATCTTTTACCATGCTTACCTTAAATTGATGAGAACGCTTTGGGCCTCGTATTTTTTCACAACCTATTGTAGTTTCAGAAGCTTTTCAAGCTCAGGTATATTCATTGCTCACAGCTACTTTTAATTGCGCTGGTTGAATTTTTTTTTTTTTATTTGGATAAAAAATTTTGCTGAAATTTTGATGAGAAAAATAAGGAACAATTTGATAAAATTTTGGCAAAAAATGTTTCCTGCCTTTTAAACAGCTCTTCTTTTTATTGAAGTGAGTACAAGGGAATGCAAATGGCCAGTCTTGGTCTCGTTCTTTAAAATATGCTAATTTCAGGTTTTAGGGACCCTCAACAAACATGTCCTGTTTAATTCGTTTTCTCAAGTAGAAGCTATCTACCCTGTTCTGGTTGTTTCCTGATTCATCAACAGGGCATTAATAGCAAAAGAGTGCCAGACCTTGCCTGAATATAATATACTTCTGTTTAAAAGAGAAAATATGCATCTGAAGAAGTGGGTTTTTACCCACGAAAGCTTATGCCCAAATAAATCTGTTAGTCTTTAAGGTGCCACCGGACTCGTTGTTTTTGTTGATATTTATATTCTCCCTTTCATTGCGGAGGTGATCCTGCACTAATACTGAATGTTCTCCCTTCCAGGATGTCCCAGCCCGGCCAATCACTACTACCTTTTGGGAGAGAAACTTGCCATCTATACCAGGACTGCTGAGGCTGGTTGGATTTTCCACTTTCTTCACTTCAGTGGCTGCTGTTGGGCTATTTGCCTACAAAAAGGGGCTGCTAGTTCAAAACTGAGAAAGGTGCCAGCACAAAGCTGCGTACTTGTTGTGTCCTTTTTCCAAAGTTTATTTTGACGTGCACTTATCTGTCTTCAAAAGCAGATCAGGACTGGTAATGGGGGTGGGGGAAAGTAGAGATGCAACTTTAGAGTGAGGATGAGTGAAGGGGTTCAGATAAGGTAAGGACCCCCTGAACATTGACCTATTTTTAGCACCATCATTTGAAGTTCTGAGACAGTGGTGGGCAACCTGCAGCCCGCGGAACGCTCGCGGCCCATCAGGGTAATCCACTAGCGTACTGCCAGACAGTTTGTTTACATTTGCACAGCTTCCCGCAGCTCCCAGTGGCCGCGGCCGCACAGACGTGCTAGCCGCTGCTTCCCGCAGCTGCCATTGGCTGGGAAGGGCAAACCGCAGCCCCTGGGAGCTGCAGGCAGCTGTGTAAATTTAAACAAACTGTCTGGCGGCCCATCAGCGGATTACCCGGACGGACCGCAGGTTGCCCACCACTGTTCTGAGATGTTCCACTATGTGTTACTTCACTTTGAGTTTCTATCCAGGTCTGCAAAGGAAAATGCCAAAATACCGTGAGAAAGCTGTTCTTATGATATTTTCAGCCTTTTGTACACCTGTATCTGACCTAATCTGAACTCTGAACATTTAAAGGCATGCCCGTCCCTAGTTATAAGTGGAATATTGCCACACTCATGTTCTGGAGATCTAAAAGACTTCAGTTGTAGCTTAAAATAACTTTTGAATAAATGCAAATTGCAGGTGAGGGCCTTTTAATGTATTTTTTCCCAAAATGCCTCGAGCCCAAACAGCACTTACAAAAAAATGTAAGGCTAAATTTTGAAATTGTTGTTTCAAACTATGTGAGTGCTCATGAGTTTGTCAAGAGTATAATTCCCCACTTTACATTTCCAATCGCATGTTATGGACTATGGACCCAGTGGCACAAAAGAGGCTATAAAGGTGTCTTAAGTGGCCTCTTGAGGATTCCCCCAGTCTAGCGGCTCTACAGCACCCTTATCCTATGTGGGTTCCATGAGTGCCAGGGATCAAATTAACCCCCCTGTTGACCCCAGGGAGCCATGAAGTAACTTTTCTGCACCCTTGTCTAAGCTTTTTGGGGTAGGGGCTCTCTCTCACCTTGTGTTTGTAGGGTACAGTGGGCCCTAGATCTCAGTTGGAGCCTACAGGCACTACCATAATAAGTAATAACTTTGTCCAGTGTTGAAAACAGCTTATCTAGGCCAGAGAATCTGAGCTAATGTCTACACATTTCCCCAACAATTAGTCCGTGAAATATAAATGGAAATCTCTAAATAACATTTCAATATGTATTCCTTGGAATTGATGTTGTGTTGAGGGGTGCACCTGGAACTGCAAGGGTGATTTCTCTCATGTTCGGCTCTACAAAAATAAAAAAAGCCCCTGCTCAGCTTTGCTTCTTGATTCACATCGCTCTAACTTGGACTCTTATATGCACAGTTAATAGAGTTTTCTCCATCACACCTATAGTCATCCAAGATGTGACCTGCCTCTCAGTCCTCTGTATTTCACCTAGGAGGAAAGGTTATTGCAGTTCTGTTCTTTCTAATATAATTTCCAGAAGAAAGGAATCTTACTACTTTACCTTAGCACAATCAGACTTCATTATTTTTTGTAAAAAAGCAAGACAAGGTAAGAGAAGAGCTTGAAAATCCTTCCAAATCACTACGCATCCGAAGAAGTGGGCTGTAGCCCACGAAAGCTTATGCTCAAATAAATTCGTTAGTCTCTAAGGTGCCACAAGTACCCCTGTTCTTTTTGCGGATACAGACTAACACGGCTGCTACTCTGAAATCTATAAAGCTTTTTAGTCAGCCATTCTTTCACGAGATCTTGTCTTAAGCTTTCAGGTCTGTGACTCCCTGAGTTTCAGCCTGCTAGCAAAATGGAGTACAATTTTTTTTCTACCACATCTCTAGTCAGATCTAGTTTTCACCTTCTGTGTACCTTTGAAAACTATATTATTAAGAAATGTACAATCCTGTAGTGGGAGGTTTGGAGTCCTATGAGCAAATTCTCTGCTGGTGTAAACGGACACAGCACTACTGACATAAGTGAAACACTGAGCTACCAACACTACAGTATTTTCAGTTGTCCTTTTCTATTCAACCTTCAGTCAAAGGCTTTCTGGCATTACACTAATTAATTCAAAGCTATTATTCCATGCTACATTGAATGCCATTCTAACTATGCTCCATAAAATCTTCTCTTGGTGACATTTCACACTGCTTGGCTCGCAGTTTTATGAGGAGAAGGTCTGAATGATTAAGCACAAGATCGTTGCTTGCACAAGGGAATGAGGGGGCATCAAATGTCTTGCGCAGGCTACCTGCATCGCAGCTCTCAGTGCAGAAAGGAGAGCAGCCTCTGAGGAGTCACTACTCCTCCTCCGGCTCAGGTGTGCAGAATAGGGATGGGAAAGGTGGAGCCTTGACTGAGCCCCACAGCAAACCAGTCAGCATAGCTGAGGCAACATGAAGAGAGGGAAGTAATCTCTGTCTGGTAAAGGACTGGGGCAGATTACTTCCCAATGGAGTAAGGGAGGAGCAGGGGACTGAATTGTGACTTTCAACGTCTGCCCCGGGGCAGTGGAGCTACACACTGACTGCCCCTTGCGCATGGTAGACTGCTAAGCAACAACCTAGTCCTGTGCTATCAGCTCCAAATCCATAGGTCTGGTGGGAGACTTCATGATCTAGCTAGTCAAGATTTTGTAGGATCTTTAAAACAACCCCCCGGAAATCAAGATTAGGAGGACAGCTCATCAGCAGGGTGTTAACTGTAAAAGGGTCAATTGCTAAACCTTGCAAAATGCAATAAGCACTTCCACATCAGGAGTTAGAAATGCAGTACAAGTCCAACTGACATTCCCTAAATTTTAGTAACTATTCAGGGGGTTGAATCACAAAGAGATTAATTGGAGCCCTGGAAAGCTTAAGCATGTACCGGTGCTTCTGTCCTCCCTGTTTTGGGGCCTTTGAAACAATGTACACAAGAATAAAAAAATGTGCGGTCTGCTATACGCAGAGTGTCACAGTTCGGGTCAACTGCACCTCTGTTTCCTCTTATTGGTTCAGCAAGTGTACCCACTCTTAGGCTTCCTTCCCCATAGCCATTCCCTTTCTTGGGTGGATAGCTGTGTCTCTATCCCTCCTGACTGGGGTATTTCCATGTTGAACAGTTCCCTGCCTTCACTGTGATATTCCCAGCAAACAGCAGTCTGCCCAGACAGGCCTGCTTGCTGTCTCTTCAGAGACTAATAATACAGTGATTGCCAACAGCTAGAAGTTACTACACAGCACGTCCTATGCAAGGCTCTTTTACTCTTAAGGTAAAAGCACTTCAGAAAAAACACATTAAAACAATACAAATCTCCATGCATACTGTATGATCTTACCAGAGATCCCCTCCTCCAATTGTCTCCAGCATGATTTCTTCAAACCCCTCAAAGGAGTCTCTTTTGTGGTCACAAGTTCTCAACAGCCTCAGCTCAGAACTAGCACACTCATGTGGTTGGAGGTCTTTGAACTGGAGTTTTCAGAAGCAGGTAATCAGTATACAATTGGTTTCTCTCCCCAGTGCCTAGTTTCAAAAGGATGGATTTGAGGTGGGTCATTTGCATTCCCCTCGCCCCCCAGGTATTTCCTAGGAAATCCACTTAACATGTATTGTCCCCAAAATCCTTTGAAGTTTCTGATATATCTAAGAGATTACCTTAATCCTGTTTTCCTGCTAAAGGAGTTCCATACAACCCTCAATAGTACACAAACATTTGCATTTTTAATAGAATGAACTCCAGAAGTGTTGAACTTAATTCAGTAGGGTTTAGCTTGATTCAGTTAAGTTTGTCTAGGACATTGCCATAAGTGTCACACAGACACATTGCACCAAATTCTTCTCTCCTTCTCCTTTCAATGGAAAGTCATAGGTGTAATTGAGAGCACAATTTAGTCCAGTGCACATAGAATTCTAAGAGATCTAAACTGGTCAGCCAGCTGGAACTATTTTGAGCCTATTTGAACTTTTTGCTCCAGTTGATGTTGATTTAAACTAACTGCAATTGCACTGCAGTAAAACATGGAGTGAGGCAGGAAAACAATGATCTCAATCAGCAGCTGGGGCATACATAAGGCAGAGAAATTGTATAGTCAGCTTCATGTAGATCTTCAAGGCCAGGGTCTGATGCCCTGGGCTCACGCTTAGTAGTACTTTATTCTGCTCATGGTCCCATTGAACTACTCATGGAGTTGTTGTCATTGTGGATAAGGGTATCAGAATCTGGCTCTTAGATTTCATTCTGTGTCTTTGAATTGTGATAAAATCCAAGCTGCTGGTACAAGTGTGTGTTCTCACATCAGCCTTTGAACTAAATAGGAGAATTCTTCAGATGTCAAGTTCTCGAAGTCAGAGGAACAGGGTACAGTGTAGTAGATGTGACCTTTCTCACTGTGTCACACAGAGAAGCAGTTGGATAGGGTACTTCTGAGACCTATTCTTGTAGATTGATTTGTTATCTATCCCATGACTCCCCTACTTCGACCAATTCATGTCTCTGGGAATTGATGGGGGTGTCGTCTACCAAAATGAAATGATGTTGATTGGCCTTTGGCTTGATAGCTTTTGCTGGCTCCTCCTGCTTTAGATTCTAATCTGCTTTACCTGGGCACACTGGCCTGGTTTTTCATTCTTGACAGTCAGATTCACTGGAAAGCACAGCAGAGAACAAGTTTGTTTTTTCCTCTTGGCTTTTAACAGCTATCTATTCACAAGTCCATCCTGGCACCCAGTGACCTTTCAGGATCTCTTACGCGTTTACTTATATCGCCGTCTCTCTCTTTCTCCCCACTCTGAAGTTGGCAGTCCTCTCAGGCTCACAGGCAGCTCACTGGGAGATTTTTTTCCCTAAAAAGGACAGGACTGTAAGAGGAGCTGAGCAATGTGAGCCATGCAGACACAGTCAGCAGAGGAGAAAATTACATCAATGAGAGCAGTTGGATGTAAATCGCTTCTCTTCAGTGTTCTACAATCTGACTGAGGCTAAACCCAGTTGTACTTTGTTAGTAACTGATGGCTTAGATTTTTTTTTTCAAAAGGAGTAGTGGGATGCTCAGCATTTGTGAAAATCAGACCTCTTATTAGGGGCCTAAATA